AAAGTGGAACATATCCTCGTCAATTCTAATCATCCATGAAGTACTTTATAAAAGAATCTGAATCTTTTGAACGGGCGAGTTCTTACGCATTTTTACAGTCAGCGAATTCATGGCCATTTAATTGATATGTCGCATTTTGAGCTAGTCTACTCTTGTACGTGCTAAGAGGTTAGTGAGAGGGAGGGCTTGGTCTTACGGAAACTAGAAGGGTAGCCTGGTCATTGAATGAAACAGAGTATTGCTCAAAGGTATTTGGTGATCTGGGCTGTTGCAGGGCAGCACTTCCCGCTGGTTTGTTTAAATGGTGCGGTCACAGCTGCCAGATATCAGGTTGAGGCTGGACCACTTACTGTAAATGTCGCATCTTGTTATTGTAAGTGCTCGGTCCCTGTAATTCTCCGGCTGTAGGTCGTAAGCGGTCACTCACGTCCGAGCTTGACCATTTACGCGCTCCATACAAACAGTTGGAACTGGGCATCTGTGATAACAAAACGGGGCATATATCTTGGATGTTGGGCAAAGCGGGATATCCGAAGGCGCGCGGATTCGGCAAGAAGTTTTGTGAAAGTCGTTGCTCGGTGATCATGCTTGATTTACGCGCTAAAATCCTGTATATAAATGTGAGTGATCAGGGACTGATTCATTGTTATTGTTCTTGTCTTTCTACATCTTCCGACTGGCTCGTCAGTATCAATAAACTTCCATAATGTCTTCAGTGTCTCCGTGCAGTTTAGCGGATGCTGCGTCAAGGGGGGCATAAGTGGGCCGCGAGAAGCTTCGTCAGGGCGCGACTCGCCATTGCCAGGCGAGGCGCGCCCAACATGGATGTAATTGGTATTACCCATTAGTTCCGATGCTACGCTCGGGTAGTGCTTCATCTCAGATCCGACACGAAATCATTCGTTCCACTGTGGACCTGTACCATGTGTACCGCACATACCAAGCTGCACCGATAATGAGCATGATACAATTATGAGACGAGGGGCGTCGCTGCGGTCGAATGTTGGTCTTGGGCATCGTTTGTCGTGGTTCTGAAGAGTAAAGCATCCGGGTGCGTAAATGCGCCGATTTCTCCATAGCAGTGAATGATAAGTAGTATTCCATCAGTACTATTCCAGCTCCGGATGAAATTGTGATACAAAACTGATCGAGTTCAATATTTCATGCAGTATAATTCGCGCCAGATCAGTTTGATGAGGTCTTCAGTAAACTTCTAAACTACAATTGTGACTTATACAAAAATCAACATTTTGAGTGGAATGAATTAAATTTTTTTAATGAAAAGGGATATTAGTCTTTGTGAATTAAACATTTTCTGTAGAAAAAGTAGAATCATAAGGAGATAAAAATGTTTCTCTTCATAAAACATTATGCATTTCTTTCTCG